AAACTGATGGAAAACCAGAACTCGAAGTCTTTTAAAAGCTCTTTAATTTCGTTCTCTATGGTGGGACTACTCCGGAGGCGAGGAGCAGAAGTTCGGTGTTCTTGTCCTGAAAGAGGGACAACAACGCTCTGCTGAAGAACAACAGACCGATGTACCTTCAGAGCCGCGTCCATTTGCTGTTCTCGAAAGTCATTGCGATTCATCTGGCACGCAGACTCGACGAGTTCCAACTTTCCGAACAAGCCAGTTTTGAAAAGGCTTCAGTACCATAGACCACATACAACAAATGCAAATTGTACAGAAAACAGAAGAGTAAAATCTGCCACTTTGCTTTGCATATTTGAACCATGAAAAAGCATTTAATTCCGTCGAAATTTGTGCGACGCTAGAGTTTCTTCAGCCGTGCCTAGTTGACTGTCGGTTTATCAAAGTGCTGAAGTGTTTGTACAGTAGCGTAGCTCTGTACTGTACAAACACTTCAGCACCAAGATCTCAACACTAAAAGTTGCTTGGTGGAATACTAAGCTAAAAGATCAGGAAATTATTTAATAGGGTTAAAAAAACAAAGTATGGGATATTTAAAGTGCAACCCTAATTGAATATAAAAAAGACTTTAGGAAAGCCAAGGGAGCATCGTGGAGTAAGCTATGGGAGGAAGTTGAGTCTCTGCTTCGCTGTGCAAGACTACACAAAATGCTATCGAAAGCTAAACCTAATCAGATCGGGCTTCTTAAAAAGCCTGATGGTAACTTCACTAATAATGAAACAGGAACATTGAAGTTACTAGCGTCAACCTATCAGCACATATCCTTCTTTCAGAGCCCTACGAGGCTTTGTAATGAGGACTGGTGTAGGGCTGCAAAGATATTATCAAATCTGGTGCAGTGGGCTGTTGATTCCTTTAAACCATATAAGACAAGCATCCCAGTATGGTCCTATGGCTGTACAGCAGTATAGCGAGGCCGATCCTCAACTACGCCTCCACTGTCTGGTGCAACAAGGTCAACCAAAAGACGACTGCGGACAGACTAAATAGTGTACAAAGGACTGCATGCTTAATGGCAACTGGAGCGAGGCGATCATCGCCTGGAGCGGCTCTTAATGCAGTTCTATAGCTAATGCCCCTTGATCTTTATCTAGACAATGAGGCGAAGGCTAGTTTGTATAGGATTCATGCCAATAACCCCCCCCCCCCTTCGAGCTTGCTCTCCCGCAGATTGAGATCCATGCTCGACTCAATTAAGATAACGCCGGTCTTATGAATGATCTCAGATATCATGCGTCCACTATACATACTTTAATTTAGATTGTTTCACGCAAAACGTTTTTCAGAGCTCAAAACTATAAAAAAGGCAACAGTATGTAAGTGTGTATATCTGCGTGTGTGTGCGTGCCTGCAGTGAATGTGTGTCATCGGGAATCTTACACTGCTAACTTACTACATTAACATTCAAAACCACTTCTCTTACCTTACAATTCTACCTCAGCTGAAGAGAGCAAAGGTAGGGCATTCCAGGCAGACTGGGTTCACCAGATACACTCGGGGCAGGCACGTCCACATTGGTACAGTGGGTATGTTAGGATTAGGATGAATGATCATTTGTATTTGTGACTATGTTTTACATGGCATTCATTAGCGGAAAATAACCTAATAATAATTTTAGAAAGTAAATTCCAAATTATAAAGTGAGATTTATCTAATGATACAATGTTTGCCTAAAGATAAGAGTACGTTCAACTTAAATATTGCTGGAAATATGTAATAGGTATGTTTACATAATGAATATGCTTATCTAAATCATCACTTTCTCTCACAATTCTCAATAGCTTCATATAGTACGATAGGAGTTTTAAAAAAAAACTCTAGAATTTGAGAACAGATGTCTTGAAGTGGGTGAAAACTGAAATATAATTACGTTACTACTACTATTAAATAGGTTAATTTTTACCCTTTCAAATGGAGTAAGGAATATTATAACCTCAATGTACAGATACCTTATCTCCTTAGTCACCCGTAAGGTAGGATTACTCCACTATTTCCTTTTCTTTTTGCGTGTATACGGACCGAGTATATGTAGACCCATCTCTTTCAGTCTCTAATTTTTTCCCAATCTGCATGTCACCATATTTTTCTAGATTTTATATCTGTAGTTTAAAACTTTTGTCCGATTTTGATTAATTTTGCATTCTATGAGCGCGATTTTAATTTGCTTTTAATTTTGACCATTAATAGGTAGTGATTGCTATCACAGTAGGCATCACACAACATGGTTATATTTCCGTTGATGTTCTAAGTCTGTTATGTATTAGTAAATGTTGATCTAATTGACTACCTCGTTAGGCTACTAGGGTCGTAAAATTGTTTCTGTCCTTGATTCGAATCCCAGGTTGGGCCAAAATCATTTATTGGGTTTTTCTGCCAAGAAATTCTCAGTAGCAACCCGGAGTCAGAAGGTTGACGGTATTGCCTCGAAAGGCGAGTAAAGTCGTTGTTGGTCCTGCGCCTGATCTGACTCTGGACTATGACAGTGAGGGAATAAAGAGCGTACTTGAGATTGCGCATACACTCGGGCAATATAATGCTGTCTTGCGCAGGTGTCTAGTTTTCGGAGACAGGCCGCCGTTACCGAAATCCAGTCTCTAGGACATCATTAATAATAATAATAATAACTCGAATAACCCGTCATTATAACGCCGGATGACGTAGCCGAGGCGGTCCGTAGGGCCCCGAATTGGAAAAGTCCGGGGCTCGACGGACTGCATCATTACTGGCTGAAGGGGTTCGTAGTGTGTCACGCTGTGCTCGCCCGACAGTTCCAAGAGGCTCTTAACCAGAAGTCGCTCCCGAGCCTCTTCATTACTGGGATCACTCATTTGTTTCCTAAAGATCAGGATACCACAGATCCGACCAAATACCGTCCCATCACGTGTCTACCCACCATATATAAGACACTGACATCCATTTTGAGCGCGAGAATCACTCGTCACCTAGAGTTAAATCAGGTGATGTCACGCGCTCAAAATGGATGTTGGGGCGGTGGTCGTGGAACCAAGGAACCATTCCTCATTGATGCAGTCATTGGCAAAGTGGTGAAACGCAACCGTCGGAGCTTCACCGCCGCCTGGATAGACTACAGAAAGGCATTCGACTCGGTGCCCCATACATGGCTAAAGAGGGTCCTCGAGCTGTACTAGATTGACTGTACAGTTAGAGACTTCCTCGAGCAGTGTATGGGGCAGTGGAGTACGATCCTCTGTTATCTGGGCGAGCGGATGATGGCTGCGGAGAACCAAATAAGGATAAGAAGGGGTATCTTCTAGGGCGATTGTTTGAGTCCAATCTGATTCTGCCTCTCTCTGAACCCTCTCAGTACCTTACTGGAGGGCTCCGGGATAGGATTTCAGCTACGGAAGGGAGGAACAAAAGTGACCCACCTTTTCTATATGGATGACCTCAAGTTATTCGCCTCCAGTCGCTCCCATCTTATGGAATTGCTAAACATCACTTGTTAATTTAGCAATTCTATTGAAATGGAGCTGGGGACTATGTCACAGAACATCGGTATCGATGAGGCTGGTATGAAACAGTCGGTTTGCGACGTGTTTTATGCACGCTTGACCAAAGTGCTTAACAGCCTTTTATCCGGTGTGAATAAGACAAACGCATATAACGGTTGGGTCATGCCTGTCCTCATATATACCTTTGGCATACTCAGGTGGACTCAGACCGAACTTAACGCCCTGGATAGAAAAGTCCGCACTACCATGACGTCCCAGATAGGATGCATCATCCGAGATCGTCGGTAATGAGGCTGTACCTTGCCGCGAAAGCATGGTGGGCGTGGTTTTCTGAGCGCGCTCACCATGCATAATCGCGAAGTGTGCAGCCTCCGTCATTACTTTCTGGCGAGATCGGATGATCCATTCTATAATGACGTCATTTCTAGTGATAAAGGGCTTACCCCTCTATCCTTAGCCCACGAGCAATGGCAGGACCCAGCAGTGCTTAGCATTTCCGACCGGGAGACAGTATGGAAGGAGAAGGAGCTCCATGGGAGGTACCTCAGGGCTCTTCATGAGCCCTTCGTAGATACAGTCGCCTCTCTCAACTGGCTGCGTTTCGGTGACCTCTTCGGGGAAACCGAGGGTTTTGTCTGTGCAATACAGGATCAGGTTATTAAGACCAACAACTATCGGAGATACATCTCTAAGCTCGAGCTTGTCGCCATCCCGGTGAGTCGCTTATGCATGTCATCTCCGGTTGTTCGGCGCTTTCTAACTCTGGGGACCTTGGCACAGGCACAACCTAGTAGCCAGAATTCTACACCAGGAGCTCGCTCTAATACGCGTTTCGTGGACCGGAAGTTGCCGTATTACAAGTACTTGCCGGAAGCCGTGCTCGAAAATGACCGCGCCAGGCTCTACTGGGACCGGGCCATCATCACAGACAGGACTATTCTTGCGAATAAGCCTGATATTGTGCTGATGGACCGGGCACAGTCAAGGATATTTTTGGTAGACATTACCATTCCGTATGACGAGAACCTCATGAAAGCCGAAACAGACAGGCAATCAAAATATCTGGACCTGGCTCACGAGGTGACCGACATGTGGGGTGGTCTGCCGACCGAAATTATTCCTGTAGTCGTCTCTGCAAACGGGCTAATCCCAGCCAGCCTCTCGGGTCATCTGAGGCGGCTGGGACTACGTGACGGACCGCTGGGCCAAAAAATAGCCAAGTTTTTTCAAATGCAGAAGGCGGTGCTCCTCAATACCGCCCGCATCGTCCGCCGGTTTCTTTCCCTTTCCCTCTAACCCTCGGCCGTTTGGTCTCCCCTGCCGAGGGCTTCCATCTGGTTGGGCTTTTATTTATTTATGTATTATTTTTTATTTTATTATAGATATTTATGTATATTTATCTTTTCATTTTCGTTTAATTATATATTTATACATCCCAACCAGATGTGAAAACTATATTAGATAACCCACATAATAATAAAATGGAAAAAAAGATAGTGCGCAAAGAGCCGCTGCCTGGAGGTCGCCAGGGCGCGTCTGGAGCTGGCGCTGGACGCAACAGCATGCGGACCGCCAGCCGAGCGCGGGGTGTTGCAAGACCACCTAGCAGCCCCCCACATCCATCATCCCCACCAGAAGACTTGGTGACGGCTGGGTCTTCGCGGGCTCAGCAAGCGGCACCCGCCGCTGGTGGAACACGTCGCATGCGTTGGTCAAACTTAATGAATGCAAACGCACTGCGGGCGTATTATAGGGCAAAAGGGGAAGAAACTGGATGTTTGGCGTATCGGGCTAGGATGCATCGCTTTTTTGCAGAGCTGGAGCCATCTCTATCCGTCACCGAGCAAAACCTGGCAGACTGAGTTCGGTACATCCTGAGCTCCAACATATTTGGTGACGCCAAACTCGAACGGCTACGAAGTGAGGCTGTTCCTTCATCAAATGGAAATGCTACGGCTGGGAATGCGGCGCCACAAGATGCGCAACAAACTGCATACGTGGATGCCGCCGTCAACATTCCATTTGTGGCTAATTCAAACGATGATGGAATATTCTCCCACGACCTAGAGAAAATGAGGAGCACATTGGAAGAGTCGATGCTGGAAACGCGCAGCATTCTTCTCGAAAATCGACCGCGACTTCCCCGCATACCCCTTAGCAAGCGAAATCAGGCTGTCGTGCGGGCTCTTAACCCAATGCTGGTGACCTATTTGGAAGCCAGCCGGGACCTTTGCGAGACGGACTCAATTTTTTTGGCGCCGCACTAGCAGTATGCCGTATTATTGGCGCCAAACTTTTTACCCGTGGCTGGACGCGCTACTGCCAAAAAAGTAGAGCCATCCCAGCATGGAGAAAAAGAATTGAGAAGCGTATCGCAAAGGCAAGGGCCCTTATCGGCAGACTGACAAGCTTCAGGTCGGGTAATAAAAGACCGCGAGTAAGTGCGCACCGTTAGTATGGCGTTTGCTGGGACAAATTTTAGTTTGTCCCAGCCGGATATCATGCAAAAACTAACGAGCGCATAGATGACCTGAAGTAAAAAATCGCTGCTTGGGGGAAGCGGATTCGACGATTTAGCGAGAGTTCAAGGCGTTTCAACCAGAATCCTCTCTTCCAGAGTGATCAGAAGAGGCTCTTTAAATCATTGGAGCGACCAGAATGGTATGTGGAGCGGGCCCGGACCGGATCAGGCCGACACTGTCGCATTCTGGCGTGGCCTGTGGTGAGAGCCCGTAAACCACAGCGAGGGTCCTTTGATGGAAGTTGAGGCGAACCAGAGTGCGAGTGTTACGCCTATGTACCCCGTCACCATAACGCCTGAAGACGTGGCTGAGGCGGTCCGTAGGGCCCCGAACTGGAAAAGTCCGGGGCTCGACGAGCTGCATCTCTACTGGCTGAAGGGGTTTGTAGTGTGTCACGCTGTGCTCGCCCGACAGTTTCAAGAGGCTCTCGACCAGAAGTAGTTCCCGAACCTCTTCGCGACTAGCATCACTCATTTGGTTTTTAAAGACCAGGAAACCACAAACCCGAGCAAATACCGCCCCGTCACGTCTACCCACCTATACAAGACACTGACATCCATTTTGAACGCGAGAATCACTCGTCACCTGGACTCAAATCAGGTATTGTCACGCGCTTAAAATGGATATCGGGGGCGGTGGTCGTGGAACTAAGAAACCACTCCTCATTAACGCGGTCATTGGCAAAGTGGTGAAACGCAACCGTCGGAATTTCTCCGCCGCCTGGATAGACTACAGAAAGGCATTCGACTCGGTGCCCCATACATGGCTAAAGAGAGTCCTCCAGCTATACAAAATTGACTGTACAGTTGGAGACTTCCTCGAGCAATGTATGGGGCAATGGAGTACGATCCTTTGCTATCTAGACGAGCGGATGATGGCTGCGTAGAACCACATAAGGTAAAGAAGGGGTATCTTCCAGGGCGATTGTCTGAGTCCAATCTGGTTTTGCCTCTCTCTGAACCCTCTCACTACTTTACTAGAGGGCTCCGGGAGGGGATTTCAGCATCGGAAAGGAGGTACAAAAGTGATCCACCTTTTCTATATGGATGACCTCAAGCTATTCGCCTCCAGTCGCTCCCATCTTGTGGAATTGCTAAACATCACTTGTGAATTTGGCAATTATTGGAATGGAGCTGGGAACAAAGTGTGCGGTCCTCCATGTAGAAAGGGGAAGGGTTGCTAACTCTGAGAACATAGACTTATCTATGCCCGTCAACTTAAGGACCCTTTCCGAGGCTGAAACATACCGATACCTGGGTATGTCAAAGAACATCGGTATCGATGAGGCTGGTATGAAACAGTCGGTTTGCGACATGTTTTATGCACGCTTGACCAATGTGCTTAACAGCTTTTTGTCCGGTGTGAATAAGACACACGCATATAACGGTTGGGTCATGCCTGTCCTCATGTATACCTTTGGCATACTCAGGTGGACCCAGACTGAACTTAACGCTCTGGA